TTTTATAAGTAGTTCTAGTGGTTATACCTTTGGATAGATCGCCTATTATTAATTCCTTTGGATGAGATGGAATGAACCTCAATTCTTTTCATAGTGCAGGATTACTTTGAACTTCGGTTGATTTTTCTTTACTTTCTTGACCGTTGGTCTCCTTTGTTTGTTCTTCGTTTGGTACTTCCTTGTTTTGGTCTTTAATATTCATTTGTTCAAATGGAGCTTCCAAATCATCATTACCTTTCTCATGATCGGGGGAGTTAGTCTCATCAAAAGTGACATACGTTAATTTTTTAACAACTAGAGTTTGAATCAAATAATCCCAAATTATTTTTTGTGTTCAAAATAAAGCATTTACAACCGAAAACTCTAAAGTAACCGATATTTGGAATTCTATTCTTTCAAAGCTTCTAGGGAGTTTTTGTTTTCTTTTTACCAACATTTATTCTATTACAATATAGCAAGCAGTATTGACGGTTTCGGCCCAACAGTATTTTGGCATGCTATTTTCATTTAGCATGGTTCTAGCCATTTCTTGTAATGTTCGATTTTTCTTTTCTACCATCATATTTTGTTGAGGAGTTCTAGGAGTCGAGAAAGTATGATTATATCCATTTTCATTACAAAAACTGTGAAAAGCTAGTTATCAAATTCTCCACCATGATCACTTCTTATAGTGGTAATAGAGTATCATTTCTCATTTTAGACCTTAATGCAAAAATATTTAAAAGTATTTAGGGCCTCATCTTTAAGATTTAAGAATAGAACCCAAGTGAATCTAGAATTCCACGATAATAAAAGCATAATGTTTTCAACCCAAATTTGTGGTTTTAGACGGTCGAAAAAGATCAATGTGGAGTACTTTTAATGGTTTGAAGTTGAAGAATGTTGTTTATGTTTAAAAGAACTTTTTACTCGTTTGCCAAATTGGCAAGCATCACAAACTTTATCTTTTTCAAATTTTAAGTTTGGCTAACCTTTGACAAAACAATTTTGGAAATTTTTGACAGAAGATCTATGCTAGCAGGACCTAATCTTCTATGCCATAACTATGTATCTTCCTTAAGGCTAAATAAGCAATTTTCATCATTTTCAAATTCGATATTTAGGATATACACATATTTTCCTAGGCTTCCTACAAACATCACTTCCTTATATGTAGCATACTTAATAAGGCATTTTGAAGAATCAAATTTGATATGATATTCTTTATCACATAATTGACTAATACTAAGTAAATTATGTTTGAGGTTATCAACTAGTAACAAATTTTCAATAATAGGAGATTGATGATTACCGATGTCTCCGATTCTGATAATTTTTCCTTTCGCATTATCTCCGTCTATCACATGCTCCCCATCTTTTTTCTTTGAAGTTTGATAGTTATCTTCTATCACTGGTCATGTGTCTTGAACATCCAATATCCTAGAATCGCTTGCTCTTCATTTTCCTTGATACCTACAAAACATAGTTTAAATTTTTATTTTTGGTACCCATACAAGTTTGGGTCATTGGTAGTTAGTTTTAGTGGATTCTCGAATCCACTTGTTCTTTATCTCAAATTGTAGCTTCTTTTTTGCTACACAATTATAGGCAATATGTCATTCTTTGTTACAAAAGCTACATATAACTTCTAAATAAGTACTTGAAGCTTTGACAAATATGTTTTTGTAAGATTTTTATTTTAAAAATGGTTTGTACCTAAGTCCACCTTTATCAAAAACAAATTTTTGATCTCCAAGCATTAAGTCAAAGTTTTTCTTTTCTTGAGTAAATTTATAAATAATTTGAGTCAAGTCTTCAACTTTTTCTTTTAAAGAAGAGTTTTTTTTTATTTTTATTTTTTTGACGGAGTCATAGTTTTTATTGTCTTTTTATTTTTCTAAAATTTTCTTCATTTTGTTTTTCAAAAATTGATTTCATTTTTAAGAGTAGAGTGACTTAAAACAAGTTTTTCAAATTTTTCGATTTCCATGAAGTACATGTTAGCAATTACTTCTTGATTATTGTTTAGGGTTGAACAAAACTCTTGAGTTGAACCGAACCGAGCGGTTCTTCTTAAATTAAATACTTGAACGAGTATCTAAATCGAGAATAGACGATTCGGTTCAATTCTTGATTCTAGATCAAGAATCGAAAAATTGAATAAGAATCGAATCTCCCTAATCGTTTTTAATTAATTTATTTTAAATAAGTCAAATTATTTTATTTTTTCTAAATAATTTTGCTAACTAGTTAATTTATAGCCAAGAGTGTCGATATCACCGCCTCCATCTCAAACGCCAACCACCTTTGCAACGAAACTTACAGCCAAGAGTGAAAGGTTGTTAAAGCCTTTGCAATTTTGAAACTCTCTACACTTTTGAAACCTCTCAAAACCCAGTAAAAACTCACCATCCACTGTTGATTTCAAAATCGACACCAAAGATTTAACAATTGGATCTCTACCAATCACCACCATCACTAGTGATTGTCAAATCCCCACATAACCACAATCGAACCTCATAAAATCGAAAAATGAAAATCAAAACTACTATAAAGCTTTAATAGAGTTATGGAAAAAAAAATTGATTTGGATCGAATAAGGCTGGACATGGTTCGGTCCGGTTTGATTTTCGGGTATTTAGTAAGTGGAACCGTCGGGTCCAAATTTAATTATAGAACTGTTCGAGTTCGTTCAGTTTGGATTCAGTTCGATTCCCAGGTTCTATATTACAATTAAATTTTTTAATATTTACAAAGCTACATTAATTCAACTAATGATATGTTCAATCTCAACTCTTACAAAATAACATAGTCCAATCAGATGTCTCTTTTGAGTCTCTCTTTGCTGAGTTCTTCATAAATTTGATTGTTAAAATCATAAGAAGTGGAAGACAGAGAGCTCATAATTATTAAGAGATACGTTGTCGAGTTTTAATTCGATTTTTCTAGAACGGTGGAAATGGAACTATGGCAGAATAATAGATTTGGATAAAATTTAGATCAATTTAATTAAGTGGCTTTGAACTAAAAATTAGAAGTAGGAAATTCGTATTTTTGGGTTTGAGTTAAATCGACTAGTTAGTAAATTTATCTAGAAAAAATAAAATAATTTGACTTATTTAAAATAAATTAATTAGAAAACTTAGGGAGATTCGATTTTTCGATTCTTGATTCAGATATCCGTTTGAATATTTAATATAAGAAGAACCACTTGGTTCGGTTTGAGAGTTTTGTCCAGTCCTAGGATCAAATGTGGTTTTTACCAACCCTAAAATGGTTTTTGTTGGGATGATTTGAAATGGAGTGTGGTATGGTGTTGGAGGGTGGTGACCATGGTCGCGGGCGATGCGGCGGTGTATTGGTTGTTGTCGACGGTCAGTAATGGCTTAAAATCAATGTTGTTGGTTAGAGAAGATGAATATGGGAGGTGGGGTGGAGATGTTGGGGTAGATTTCATTTTTCCCTTTAATTTTATTATTTAAATTATCAATACCTTATAATACACAAAATTACCATTTTACCCCTTTTAATTGGTGAAAAATCACTTTTCTTAGTCAACTAACGATTTCATGGATGGATTCCATCCAAATGGACTCCAGGTACATACTTATTAAAGGTTAGAAACCTTCACTCATAGTTATTAAACTCGGACCGAACCGTTAGGTTCGGTTCGAAAATTAGTGAGCCGGACCCAGGTCCGGTCGACAGTCCGGTCTGGAAATTGGTGAGCTGGACCCAAGTCTGGTCCGAGTTAGACATATTTATTCATGTACAACTGACCCACCTCAAACCTATGAAACCGACGATTTTTTAAGTAACCCGTTGGCCCGTTTATTGATTGAACAGTCCGGGTCATGGCAGCCCTTTATAAAGTTTATTCTCCTCCTGTTTCCTCATGTCAGGGCTTCTTCAAACTTTCAAACATACAAAATCTATGCTCGGTCTCTCAATTTCTTTGCAATTCAACCCTCCCAAAATCCAAATCTCCTCAAGTTTCAATAGATGGAAAAAGAACCGGTAACTTAGGTAAGTCCTTTTTTTGGCCCGTTTTGAACCTGTTCTTCGGCTGATGAAAATCTGAAATGACCCCTTTCACTTTACTTATTTTGGTTGAAGTAGTCCCTTTTGTTTACGCGGTAGACTTCAATTTTTGGGTATCTCACCTATGCTGATTTTTCAAATGAAAGTCACTTTTGTTTTGGGTATTTCACCTATTCTGGAGTAACCACAAAATTCTTCAATTGAAATAAAAAAAGCTGAAAATATAGATTCTTCCTGAAGTTGTGAAATATGAAGAAAAAACATAAGATAAATAAAAAATTTGAAGAAAAAAGTGAAGAAACTGTTGCTGAAAATTGCCAAGAACGAATCCATTTGAATGAGACTTTGCCCCTGTTTTTGTTCCTCATTAAAATAAACATATTGCCCCACGCACACACAAGAAACAGAGGAATTCGATAAGACACAAATCCATTGATTGTTCTTTTTATGTTTCAGATCCATATTTTACTATTTATGATCTAAAATTTGTGAATTTAGTTAACAAAATAATATGAGATTAATTTAGTTATTAGTTGAAAATGGGAAAAAAATATTATTCAATGAAAATAGTTAATTATATTTTGGATAGGAATTGACCAGCCGGTTGAACTACCGAGTCACCGGTCAAACCACTGACTTGCTGACCCACAACATTGTCCGGATCGGGTCTGACAACTATGCCTTCGCTAGTACAAATTAAAGGTTAAAATAAAGTTTGCAAAAATTGAAAAGATCATGGGTCACTGTTGCAATTTTCCCTAAAATATATAATTAATTAATTAAATTATAAATAAATTTTAATAAATATCTGATTTTTGAAATTTAAAATATTTATTCTTAATTTTGAAATGGAGGATACTTAATTTTTTAATTATGATTTTTTCCAAAAAATAAAAAATTTAAAAAATTGCCATGTTGGGCCTGAGAGGCCCGCCCAGATTTACGAGGGCAACAAAACGTCCGAAAATGCACTCCGTTTATTCATTCTAAATTTTCATTTTACAACTAAACTCGCATTTCTCTAGCTCTTATTTTAACTAAACACGCATTTGATCAGATCTAATTTGAATATGCAAATCCGTAAAATGTAAGCGATTTCCATCCAGCGACACTTGACTGTCAACTGTTGGTATACACCCCCGAAAACTTGACCAAATAGATAGCAGAGGGAGTGAAACCAATGGCATCATCGCTATCTCGGTGGCTTGTCGACCCAAAGAAGAACCCTCTCGCTGCCATCCACAAAAAGACCATCTTCGGCCGCCTTCGCAAATACGGTATCTATATGTGTATATTTGTAGTATGAGTTTATGTGTGTTTTTGGTTTTTGTATTTTGATTTTTCATTTAGGTTTGGATCTTTGACTGTAATGTTATTGTTGTTAAATTGCTTGAAAAGGGCTTCGATATGATGATTTGTATGACCCAAAGTACGAATTGGACGTTAATGAGGCGCTGAATCGGCTCCCTAGAGAGATCGTGGATGCGAGGAATCAGCGCATCAAGCGCGCTATGGATCTCTCCATGAAGCACGATTACCTTCCCGAAGATCTCCAGGTATGGGGTACGCAAGGACGTACATTACACATGTATAGAGCTGTATGTGTAGTTATGTGGATTTTTATCC